ATGGTGGCGCGTGCCTGTAGTTCCAGCTACTTGGAAGGCTGAGGCAGAAGGATCGCCGGAGCCCAGCAGGACAACGCTGCGGTGGCTGTGAGCATGCCTCTGCACTCTACCCTGGTCAACAGAGTGAGACTCCGACTCAAAAAAAAAAAAAATTTTTAAATTGAGGCCACAGACTGGGAGAGTTTCAAATCATATATCTGAAAAAGAGCTTGTATCTAGAATATGTGAAGAATTTTTACAATTCAATAATAGCCCAATTAAAAAATGGGCAAAGGACTTGAATAGACATTTTGCACAGGAAGGTATATAGATGGCTAATAAATACATAAAAAGATGCTTAATGCCCAACATCATTAATCATTAGGGAAATGCAAGTCAAAACCACAATGAAATACTACTTCAAACCCACTAGAATGGCTACAATAATGAGAAGGACAATAACAAATGTGGGCAGGGATGTGGAGGAAAGGGAATTCCCTCACATTGCTGGTGGGAATGGAAGACGGTACAAACATTCTTGGAACATAGTTCAGTAGTTTCTTCCACTTTCTTGGTAGTAACTTAATTGTCTATCAGTTGATGAATGAATGAAATGCAGTATATCCATACAGTGGAATGCTATTCCTTAGTACAAAGGAACGGAGTACTGATACATGCCATAACACAGGTGAATCTGAAAAATATTATGCTACATAAAAGAAACCAGCCATAAAAGGCCACATATTGTACGGTTCCATTTACTTGAATGTTGAGAAAAAGGCATATATCTACAGGGAGAAAGTAGATTAATGGTCACCTACGGCTGAGGGTGGGAATGGAGCATGATTATAACTGGGTATGGGTATCTTTTGGAACTGATGGAAATGTTCTAAAATTGTGGTGACTAGCCGGGCGCAATGACTCAAGCCTGTAATCCCAGCACTTTGGGTGGCAGAGGTGAGAGGATCCCTGAGCTCAGAGGTTTGAGACCCACCTGAGCAACATGGTGAGAACTCGTCTCTACAATTAAATTAAAAACTCAGCTGGGCGTGATGGCACATGCCTATGGTTCATCTTCTTGGAAGGCTGAGGTGGAAGGATCACCTGAGCCCAGCAGGCCGAGGCTGCAGTGGCTGTGAGCATGCCACTGCACTCCAGCCTGGGCAACAGAGTGAGACTCCGACTCAAAAATAATAATAACAATAAAATAAAATTGTGGTGATGGCTGCACAGTCTTCTTAAATTTATTGAGACTCGTTTTGTGACCCGGCACAAGTATACCTTAGTGAACACACCTCTGGAATTTTAAGCTTTAAAATCCTGAATCCACTAAGCGTGGTGGCTCACGCCTGTAATCCCACTTTGAAAGGCTGAAGCGAGAGGATTGCTTGATCCCAGGAGTTCGATACTAGCCTGGGCAACATAGCAAGACTGTGTTTCTATCAAAAAAAGAAAAAGGTCAACCGGGTGTGGTAGCACATGCCTGTATACCCAGCTACTTGAGAGGCTGAGGCAGAATTATTACCTGAGCTCTGTAGATTAAGGCTACGGTCAGCTATGATCTTGCCACTAAACTCTTGCCTGGGCGACAGAGTGCGACTCTGAGTCAAAAAAAATCCTATCTCTGGCCACATGTTTCTCTCCCCAAACTTTCACACCTACCAACCTTGCTCTTGGAGCTTAGTAATGACATGAAACTTTTCACCACTAAGACTGCAGCCAGCCGGGCTCAGTGGCTCAGCCTGTAATCCCGCACCTTTGGGAGGCTGAGGTGAGTG